ATGACCTGCATGACAGACTGCAATTTGAGAGGCAGATCTCACCCCGCCCCCAACCTAGCCAGCCCTCTTTGAGGGAACTTCTAGCCTTGCAGTCACATGGGCTCCCAACCTTAGGAGTCTCACTGTCACTCACAGCACATGTCCAGTAGCAGGCTCAGAAGATCAGAGATTTCTGGCTGGAAGGGACCTGAGAGGCATCTAGTCCCAGCCCCTCATTTTGGAGCACCAGCCCTGAAGTCAGGAGGACCTGAGATCAAATCTGGCCTCAGACCAAGTGCTGGGCAAGTCACTTAACCCCAATTGCCTAAAAATCAAAATAAATTCCTGTGGCTGCCTATTACTCTCAGATCAAATATTTCATCTTTATCTCATCCGATTTTGATTTCTAATTTTGTGTAAGCTTTATAACATCAGTAATTTATTTCCAAGTAAATAGATCGATATTTGTAAGTGGAGCTCATGCTAAGAGGGGTACACAATAAAAAAAAAATTGGAATTGGCTAGAAGATGAAAGTACATAAGGCCCTGCTAAGGGCCTAGTGAGCCAGGGTGATCAGGTGTTGACAGTTTGGCCCCAACGGTAGTCCTGCAGCCTTGTTGACTCTGTGGCTGGGGCCACCGCTCTCCTGCTCCAGATACAAACTTTTATGACTCCAGCAAGAAGGAGCTGTCCAGTAGCCTGGAAGAAGATGTTAGCTGAGCAGAGCACCCGGAAAACCAAGCTCCAATCTGCTGGTGCCTGGCTGTCAGGACACCTGATCCAATTCCCTAAGGCTGGGAATAATGATACTCCAGTAATTCACTGTTCTCTATTTACCATGAGGTTAAAGGAGTAGGGGTTGGGAGAGGAGATGGGTCTGGTCTTCTCAGAGCTGGAAGGAACTGTGGAGATTATCTAGTACAACCACCTAAATTTACAGGTGGGAAAACTGAGGCCCAAATAGATTAGGAGACTTGTCAGAAGTCATATAAGTAGTAAGGAGCTGAATTGGGATTTGAACACATGTCTTCTGGGTCCCTATCCAGTGTCCTTTCTGCTACCCCACATACTTTTTTTTCCTTAGATGGAAAGCTAGAAGAAGTCTTTGGTTTCAGGGAACAGGGCTCCTTTTCCAACTGAAAATAAAAGAATCTTTTAAAGAGTGGGGACTCAGTACGATTAATAGACTGCTCGAGGAAGTTTCACTCACAAATTTCTCCATCATCCTCAATGATGGCATGCCTGGCACATAGTAGGTGCTTCATAAATGCATGCCAGTGGATCCTCCATTTCTGCCTTTCCTGGAGCAAGAGTGCCTTTCCTTTCTAGCAAGTTCCAAATAATAATAGCTAGCATTTATAGAGTACTTCAAGGTTTGCAAAGGGATTTACAAATATTTTATCCCCCCAACCCTGGTATGTAGATACTATTATTATATCCATTTTACAGATAGGAAAACTGAGGCAAAAGGAGGCAAAATGACTTGTCCAGGGTCACACAGCTAGTAAGTACCTGAATCAGGATTTGAACTCAGTTCTTCCTGACTCCACCTAGCTTTAATCAACCTCGAATCAACTATGCCCCTCTGCGCATCACAAAATAAAGTCATTGGGACTCAATGAGGACAAACGGTTTTCTTTATTAGAAGTAGAAACGTTTTTGAAAGTAGCTAGCTACTGGTTGTCCTATCTGTGGTAAGGCTATCCAGTAGAACCAAACACACAGATCTTCAAATCAGTTTATGGATCCACTGGGCTTCTGGCTGTGGGAAGAATAAAAAAAGAAAGATAATATAACAAGATAGTCCTGATTGTCTGAGCCTGAGGTTGGGGTTCTATGAATGCATGAACTTCAACCTCAGCCTTGGGTTTGACCCAAGTCTGAATAGAAGGTGGGGGAGAGGCAGAAAAGGGCAGTTCAGGAGATAAAAATGATCTTTTTCTTTTTGTTAATTAGGAGCAGGACCCTGTGGGTCTGATGAGGAATCATGGTGGGCTGACTAGCTAGGCCCAGAGGAATGTTACCTAGGTGGAATAGCTAAGGAAGCTTGGAACCTACCATTCTGGGCTGGGTAGAATGTTTTCACTTTGGATGGCCTGCAGACATCAAGGGCTAAAGCCCCCTGGATCAGTTAAGAGAGGGATCAGGTTTCCCGGCAGTATCCTGGGGGCACACTGCTTACATATCCTAAAGCTTTAGGATGGGGGGGGCAACCAAGGTCAATAGGATTTGTGAATATATTACTAATATCTTTACTGTAGAGGAAAGTGACTAGACCTTTGATTTCATTGGCACAGGAAATTCCTAGATGAAGACATGCCCTCCAATAGTGATTCTCAAACTTCTTGGTCTCAGGATCTATTTACACTTTTAAAAATCTATTTATACTCTCCCCCAAGAGATTTTGTTTACGTGGGCTATATCTATTGATATTTACCATATTAGATATGAAAACATCTTAGTATTATTATGAAAATAGTTCTGACTTCTCAGAACTCCTGAAAGGGCCTCAGGGACACCCAGGGTCTTGGGACCACACTTTGAGAACCTCTGTCCTCCACCATTGCAGATCAACAGCTTCTAGGTTTACAGAATTGTCTAGAGCACAGAGGGTCAGTGCCTTGACCAGCATTACATGCTAGTATGGTCAGAGGCAAGACTTGAACCCAGGGCTTCTCTGCCTTCAAGGCCAGGACTCTACTTCTAACTTCCCACTGCTTCTCATCTTTTTTTTTTAACATAAATTTATTTATTTTTAGTTTTCAACATTTACTTCCACAAGATTTCGAGTTCCAAATTTTCTCCCCATCTCATCCCTCCCCCCACCCCAAGACAGCTTGCATTCTGAAAACCCCTTCCCCTAGTCTGCCCTCTCTTCTATCTTTTTCCCCCTCCTCTTATCCCCTTCCCCTTCTATTTTCCTGTAGGGCAGGATAGACTTCTGTACCCCATTTCCTTTATTTCTTATCTCCCAGTTGCATGTGAAAACATTTTTTTTAAACATATGCTTTTAAAACTTTGGGTTCCAAATTTTCTCCCTCCCTCCCTCCCCACCCACCCTCACTGAAAAGGCAAGCAACTCAATATAGGTTATACATGTGCAGTTATGCAAAACACTTCCACAGTAGACATGTTGTGAAAAACTAACTCTATTTCCCTTAATCCTATCCTGCCCCCCCCCATTTATTCTATTCTTTCTTTTGACCCTGTCCCTCCTCAGAAGTATTTACTTCTGATTACCCCCTTTTCCAATCTGCCCTCTTCTCTATCATCCCCCTGCTCTCTTGTCCCCTTCTCCCCCTATTTTCCTGTAGGGTGACAGATTTCCATACCCAATTGAATGTGTATGTTATTCCCTCCTTAAACCAAATCTGATGAGAATAAGATTCACTCATTCCCTCTCACCTTCCCCTGTTTCACCTCCACTGTAAGAGACTTTTCTTTTCTGTTTTTTTTGTGAGATAATTTACCCCATTCTACATCTCCCTTTCTTCTTCTACCAGTATAATCCTCTCTCATCCCTTAATTTTATTCTTCAGATATGACCCCTTAAATTTCAACTCACCTTGTGCCATCTATCTATCTATCTATCTATCTATCTGTCTACACATACATACATATAACTTTTTCCCTCCAACTACCCTAATACTGGCAAAGGTCTCATGAGTTATAAATATCATCTTTCCATGCAGGAATGTAAACAGTTCAAACTTAATAAGTCTCTTATGATTTCTCTTTCCTGTTTACCTCTTCATGTTCCACTGGAGTCTTGTATTTGAAAGTCAAATTTTCTATTCAGTTCTGCAGTCTTACGTTCCCAATCTGCAGTGAACTCTGGTCTTTTCATCAAGAATGCTTGAAAGTCCTCTATTTCACTGAATGACCATTTTTTCCCTTGAAGGATTATACTCAGTTTTGCTGGGTAGGTGATTCTTGGTTGTAATCCTATCTCCTTTGCCCTCTGGAATATTATATTCCATGCCCTGCGGTCCTTTAATGTAGAAGCGGCTAAATCTTGTGTTATCCTGATTGCATTTCTACAATATTTGAATTGTTTCTTTCTGGCAGTTTGTAATATTTTCTCCTTGACCTGGGGACTCTGGAATTTGGCTACAATATTCCTGGGAGTTTTCCTTTGGGGATCTCTTTCAGGAGGAGATCTGTGGATTCTTTCCATTTCTATTTTGCCCTCTGGTTCTACTATATCAGGGCAGTTTTCCTTGATAATTTCTTGAAAGATGATGTCTAGGCTCTTTTTTTGATCATGGCCTTCAGATAGTCTAATAATTTTTAAATTCTTTCTCCTGGATCTATTTTCCAGATCAGTGGTTTTTCCAATGAGATATTTCACATTGTTTTCTAATTTTTCTTTTTTTTGGATTTGTTTTACAGTGTCTTGATTTCTCATAAAGTCACTAGCTTCCAATTGCTCTATTCTAATTTTTAAGGAAGTATTTTCTTCAGTAGTCTTTTGGACTTCCTTTTCCATTTGGCCAATTTTTCTTTTTAGGGCATTCTTCTCCTCATTGGCTTTTTGGGCCTCTTTTGCCATTTGGGTTAGGCTATTTTTTAAGGTGTTATTTTCTTCAGTATTTTTTTGGGTCTCCTTTAGCAAGCTGTTGACTTGTTTTTCATGATTTTCTTGCCTCACTCTCATTTATCTTCCCAGTTTTTCCTCTACTTCTCTTACTTGCTTCTCAAAATCCCTTTTGAGCTCTTCCAAGGCCTGGGACTGATTCATATTTTTCTTGGAGGCTTTGGATGTAGGAGCTTTGATTTTGTTGTCTTCTTCTGGTTGCATGTTTTGATCTTCTTTATCATCAAAGTAAGATAATATAGTCTGACTCTTTTTGTGCTGCTTGCTCATGATCCCGGCCAATTACTTGAGTTTTAAACTCTTTGTTAAGGTAAGAGTCTGTTACGATCTTTGTTTATCTGGGTTAGGAACTTACCTCCTCAACAGGCTCGGACGTCTCCGGCTCCAGCTGCACTGGAGAAATGACTCCACAGAACACCCCAAGACACTTTCAGAGCATATCTTTTTATTGTTACATCTCTGACTACTAGCGCGGCTCTGCCCCTCCTTCCGCGTACCTCCTTCTCTATTCCTCTCTTTGTCCACTCCTTTCTCGCCAGCCCACAGTAAGCCAATCATGTCCTGCCCCGAAAGCAAAGAGGATTCTTGCTTAAACATGTCATGAGCCATTGCACGTGAGCAACTTAACTGACCTGCGCATCAGCTTTGTTGCCACGTCTGCTCATTTATTTTGACATGCGCAGATCCACCTTAATACTCCCAGGCAATCATGTGCACTCCTGCAGGTAAGGACAGAGTCATCTCACAAATGACCCTTACACTTCCCTTTTCTTGTTTTGCGGTGGACTGCCAAGAGGAAAAAGATCAGCGCGAAAACGCAAGAAGGCACCCTTCAGTAAAGTCAGAAACCAGCGCCAGGCACAGCAAAGTATACAGACACAAAGAGCAAAGTATATAAAAGGAGTAATAAGGGCAACCAAAGATGACCAAGCAAATTTGCGTGTCATCCAGGAGACAAAATCCTGAGTGGAAGACGAGGGTATAGTGAAATTATCAGATAACTGCTGAATATCCTTAATTAACAAACCCAGTTGATGTAATTCAGATGTGATATTGTCAGATAAAAAGGCACCTTGTAAATGTTCACGAACCTAGCCCAATGGCCAGGAAACGTGGAAGTACTGTTGACAGGTAAACTGGTAACACACAACCACGGCTTATAGCGATAATGATATACAACAGAGGAAAGCAATTCATGTAAAGCCAATTCATCCCCTATTGTTAAAACAGTCTCTTCCAAGGCCTTCAGTTCTTATTTAAAGCGGCAACGATGCGCGTTTGCATATCCCATGCCTTAGTTTCTTTTTGCATAAAAGTTTTTAATTCGGATGCTAAATACCCCATACCTTGATATAGTTGCTGAATTTGAAATTCCTGAAAAGCGGATATAGCAAGATTAACAACATCAAAAAGTAACTCAACTAATTCTCGCTTAGGGTGGGATCACACAGCTCCTGCTAGCTGTACCCATACAGCCTCTGCAGCCAAACTGGCCCAAGGTAAAGCAGCTTTTACAGGTATGAGAGTATATAAAGGTTGTCGAATTATAAACAAATAAGGATACTGTTGCAGTAAGGTACTATTAACATAGGCAGTAACAATACATAAAGCCACTTCAGTTTGAAATAAACCCAAAATAGTTGGATTCACATTAACAGAGAGACAGAGTAACCAAGCATAATTCGTAGGAGCAACAAGAGCCCCTGTGAAATGGTATTGAAAAACGTCACATTGGGAGGTATGACCCAACGTGTAATTTCTTCCATTGGCAAAAATTTGATTCCATATTTGATACGTATAATCTTTACAACTACTACATTTACAGGTCTCAATAAAAATCTCAGTATTCTTTACAATAAATCCTAATTGTCCCAAGGTAACATGACAAAAACCTTTGTTAGTACAAGGAACCGGCATAGGTAATTGTGTATATGTCAAATTCTGGAGTCCATCCCAAAAAGACAAAGTTATGTGGGCAATCTTCGCTTCAGTTCTATATCTGGTAGAGCAAGGGACAATAGGAGTCCAAGTAGTCATTTCTCCCACTATACACAGAGGCAAAGGAACCATTGACACTTTATTCCTCGTGATGTTGCCTTCCATTACATTGCGCTGAAAAGATCGTACTGTTATATTAAGTCTAGTGGGATGTTGGTTTATGTCCGTGGCAGGATGCCTTCCTGTGGTAATATTATAAGGGATCAATCTCCCACACCATTCCGATGTCATGCTATGATGAATACAAATGGGAGGAGAGCCCGTAAGAAAAGTAAAATTGACATTAGTTATCAGGTGCGGAAATGAAGAATGTCTTTGACCATGTCTCGTCAACATAGATACATTTCCTACTAACCGAAAAGCAGGGGTTCTTTCTTCCCACCCCACTAAATGCACCAACGGAGGTTTCTGCAACAATGCCTAAAACCATTCTCCTCTGATATCCATGTCACGCTCCTCAGCCGGCGTCAAGGTGGTCCACCTCTGTTCTTGTCGGTGTGTCGATTGACATATTGTCATCCCCAAACTCGGGCCCCACAGGACATACCACACGATCGGGCACCCAAATCCCGGCATGTTGATCAGCTCCATCTGGAATGATATAAGCATACCCTGGCCCACGCATTACAACCATGCCCGGTCCTTTCCAGTCCCCATTGAGTTCTTTCCACACCACTTTCGTTCCCTGTTTCATATTATCACGAGCCGTTACAGCTCTCCTTCCCCACCCATTCCATAAATGCCAATACTTCATGGCTGGCGTTAATTCATCCTGTCCAAATTTCAAATAATTATAAGTATAAAGAGCCATGTCCAATTGCTGGCAGGTAATTCTTTTACGGGGATTAACACTAAGAGGATCCTGTCTTCCCTTTTCTTGTTTAACAAGAATGGTTTTCAATGTACGATTGACCCTTTCCACGATGGCCTGGCCCGTGGGGTTATACGGGATGCCCGTCAGATGTGTGATACCAAATTCAGTACAAAATTTCTGAAAAGTTTTTGAGGCATAGGCAGGACCATTGTCCATTTTAAGTGCCTTAGGAGGGCCTCCAATAGCAAAGCAATGATATAAATGATTGAACACATGTTTACAAGCTTCTCCAGTTTGTAGTGTAGCCATAAGAAAGCCAGAATGGGTATCAATGGTAACATGAATTAACTGATGTTTCCAATGTGTGACATCCATTTGCCACAATTCGTTAGGACATAAACCTTTGGGGTTATATGTCAGAGGGCGAGGTGCATTCTGAAAGGGAATACAAGCAAGGCACCTCTTCACAATGTGCCGAGCTTGAGTCTTAGTTATACCATAGAGTTTACATAAAGAGCGCATAGATAAATGAAAGCGCTCATGGGCAGCCATAGCATCTTGTAATGAGGTATCCATAAGATACAATAAAGGACTAATTAAAGCATCGGCTACTTTATTACCTTGAAAAATAGGACCAAGACCACCAGTGTGAGAACGGACATGCATAATATATATAGGAGCAGTTAAAGCGAATAATAAATTTTGTGCTTCTAGGAGCAATTCACCAATTTGGGAAAATCGTGAGTTAACATGAACAAAAGGAAGCTGTTGTATAACTTTGACAACATATAAACTGTCAGCAACAATGTTAAACGGAGGCGTAAAAGTCCGCAGGCCTTGGATAACTGCCCACAATTCATTTTTCTGGGTGGACTGAAAAGGCGTGTGCAAAACTCATTTTACACGCTCTTGAGGACAATAAATACTTGCTAAACCATGTTTTGTAGCATCAGTGAAAACATTAGGACCTGAAACTGGCTCATCAGAAACAATAGGGTGATATGGTTGTATAGAGAATTGAGTAAAAACTTGTAACATTTTTGGAAACACAGGCGCAGCTTGCACCAGATAAGGTAAAATTTCTGCCCATCCCTTATGTTCGATGAAACTTATTATATCTGAAAGTCCGTCCACCCAAATTTGAGGGGCAGTTCCGTGAATGGCATAACAACGATTAATAGCCCCTTTAAGAAATTCTAGAAGTGATTCCAATTTGTTTTGCAAAATTTTTACTCGTGTGGTAGGATATAACCACTCTATGACTCCGTGTGATTGTGTTAAGGCACCAAAGAAGGGCTTATCTTGTAATATTACAAAATACAAAGGTTGTTCTGGCTGAAAGAGAACAGTGTAGTTATTTACTCTTTGTTGTATCTGATGTATAGCTGCAAGAGCCTCAGGGGTCCATTGTCTGAAGGATTTTAAATCCGAATCACCTCTTAAAATATCATACAAAGGTTGCATAAGGGAAGAAGGAATAGGTACAGCAGTACATAACCACTGTATAGCACCTACTAACTTTTGAAAATCATTCAAATTATGATATTTGTCGACATCAATCTGGGGAGCCTTTTTTCTGACCTGTACACCATGAATATAATAACCCAAATATAGGAAAGGTTCATGTGTTTGTATTTTTTCAGGTGATACTGTAAGTCCATGTTTCTTTAACGCCATTAATAACACCTGAGTTATGAGTTGTAAATCTTTCTTAGACTGTGTTGCAAGTAAAATATCATCCATGTAATGGTAAATTACCGTGTTAGGATAACTTTCCCTTATAGGCTGTATGATTTGATCGACAAACCATTGACATAATGTAGGACTATTGGCCATGCCTTGAGGCAAAACCTTCCACTGAAAACGTTTCGCTGGAGCCATTAAATTAGGAGAAGGAATGGAAAAAGCAAATTTTTCAGTGTCATCAGCATGTAAAGGAATAGAATAAAAACAATCCTTAATATCAATGATGACTATAGAATAATCCTTAGGAATCATATTAGGTAAAGGCAGTCCAGGCTGAAGAGCGCCCATAGGTTGTAATATGGCATTGATTTTTCTCAAATCTGTTAGCATTCGCCATTGCCCACTTTTCTTTTTAATAACAAATACTGGAGAATTATAAGGGCTGAATGAAGGTTCAATATGCCCAACATCCAATTGTTCTTTAACTATGTTATTCAGCGCTACCAATTTTTCTTTATTTAGGGGCCACTGTTCTACCCATATAGGGTCCGTAGATTTCCATTTTAGGGCAGGGAGCGCTATTTGTTCAGTGGCCCCAATTAGTTTGACTGCAAGAACATTTGCATATCTTTCATTATATCTCATCCCCATAAAGAAACAGATAACCATAAACTACCAAGGGACGAAATCGACCTTCATGCTCTTCCATGGTCCATTTCAAATAATGAGCAGCTCTAGATGCTGTTTGAGCTCCACCAACTCCTGTAACACCTACAAGACCCGATGCCAATTGCCATTCCCGGGGCCATTCCTCTCCTTGTACAACAGATACATCAGCCCCAGTATCTAACATACCTATAAAGGGCCTATTTTCAATCAACATTGAAACTAAAGGTCTCTCTAAATTAATCTGTTGGGTCAGAGCAAGTTGCACTTGAGAAGGTTCTTGTAAATCCCATTTCCTGGCTATAGCTTGATCTGTTGTCAGTTTCAGAGGGAAATTATGGGGATTGGTAATGGAGATACAACTCTCTCCAGGATACAGAATAGTAGTATGCGCTATAGCTAAAGTAGGAGCAGGGCACCCCACCACTAAAGCTGTAACTGGGAAGGTACCCACATTGACATCAATAGTAGAAAAAGGAGGGACTATGAAAACTTGCATGGGATATATGTTCTGCCAATTTATGACTTTCTCTCCTGTAACTCTTGAAAATGTTTCTCGTATTCCCTTTGAGGGTTTGCCAGTAAGAGAACAACTGCAAAATTTATCATCCATAAAATAAATCATTTATGTCTGAGAATATTTCTGCCTAACGCACATGGCAGAAAACATTCCTTCTTAAAGGAATATAATAGGGAAAACTTCAAATACTGATTTAATGAAGACAACTATACTGAAATTCAAACTCAAAACAAAATTAATTATAGTCCTAAAAGTCTTTTCCCTTAAGCAGTAAATTTCACTAATCACGGCTTAGAGCCAGATATAGTCAATTTTATTCTCATGGAGTTGTAATAAGTAATAAAAATTTATCATGAGTCACATACATAATAGATTTCACTTAGCATTTTTCTGTCTCAAATTTAAACTTGTTCTGGTAAAAAGCCAATTATGAGGAATCATTTCCTATAGTTGCAGCTTCTCAGCAAGTTAAATTAATTGTTTAGGAACTCACTAACATAAACAAATTTTCTTCTCAGAGCAGATGACCTTGGAACAAAGCTGGCAAGAGCTTTTGGCATTAATTGTTTAGGAACTCAGTAACATAAACAAATTCTCTTCTCAGAACAGACGACCTTGGAACACAGGTGGCAGGAGATTTTGGCAAGCTTACAAAGTTAAGGGAATTGCCTTGTGCCCCTCCTTTTCACTCAGAAGTAATGAAGAATTTTAGGTTTTAACTTAAAATAGTAACTGCAAATAACTTAGTTAGCAATTTGGTAATTTTCATGAGTGATAGTCAAATTGTTTTAATTCTAAGTTATTCTTCAATCATAGATAAATATGGAGATATTTGATTTTCTAAATGACAATTATAAAACAGTGAGAGAAAATTAACTGGACTTGATAAAATAATTTAGCTGGTTTTTACACAGCTTTCCCACTGTCTTTCAGTCTTTTTTAATTCACATATTAATAACATCTAAATTATTAAAATTGTGTGACATAGCACAAAACAATACAAAAGTTTACCAATTTGTAATGATACTAGATTCTTTTTTTTTGTTTTTAAATTTGAAACAAGCATATTACTAATTTGAATGAACTAAATTAACATTTGATAGTGTTCCAAATACATAAAAACTTTGCTTTATGAACTGAGGGAGTGCACCCTCCTTTTCCCTATTCTCATTCTGTCTCTCACACCCCAACTTGGCCAGGGTTGGAATGGAAAGAAAGGAAGAGAATATTTTCCAACAACTTATAATCTTTCAATTTTACATCCAAAGCTTTGGCCAGAGCTTTAGAATGTAAAAAAGAAAGAGAATTTCTTTCTAATAACTCTTCAAAAGTTTTCAAATCATTTATTCTCAAATCATCTGTTCATGCTATTAATGCAGACAGATTATGCTATTCTTTCTACCCCTACTTCTCTCAGTATTGCAGGCTTAAACTTTCTTGTCTTTTATCAATAATATAATGTAAATAAAAAATATTTTTTCTCTCCATCTCACCCCCATCCACCCGCTCCCGGGAGGCGGCTGGTAGTAGGGAGGGGGAAAGAGAGAAAGTCACTAGCAGCATTTCAAAATCCAGTTGCAGCCCTTGGCTGCCTGGCAGAAAAGATCAAAACAAATGACAGACATTAATCACAGACCATCATTCACACAGACACAGACAACCATAGAACAAAATGACAGGAAGAATCCAAAAGCAAGAAACTTGTCAGAAATCCCCTTTTTCTAAAGCCTGTTTACAAGCACGGGTCAAAAAGAAGTTCCCACAGATTCAACAGGAGGTGCAGAGGGAGCAGGGCTCAACCAGTCTGAAGGAGGCAGGGGAAGTGCGCTGGAGCATCCCTCCCCCTCTTCTTTTTCATATGAAGAAAGCTGATTACCGACCACACTCCATCTCCTGGCATCTAAACCAGTGTACTCTATCCAAGGGGAGGTTTGCCATAACAACTGTATAAACTTTCTACAATCAGCCAATTTTACTTTAACTCCTTTTTCTTTTACTAAACCATATACCTGCCTAGCATAAACTTCAGTATCACTGGGGTACACCACAGGAAGACTAAACGCTTGTCCCATAGTGTCTGTACGGCACCAACCCTTCTTGCACACAGCAAGGCTATGGAGTCCTTCTAACCCTTAGGTCCCTGTTCGGGCGCCACTTGTTACGATCTTTGTTTATCTGGGTTAGGAACTTACCTCCTCAACAGGCTTCGGACGTCTCCGGCTCCAGCTGCACTGGAGAAATGACTCCACAGAACACCCCAAGACACTTTCAGAGCATATCTTTTTATTGTTACATCTCTGACTACTAGCGCGGCTCTGCCCCTCCTTCCACGTACCTCCTTCTCTATTCCTCTCTTTGTCCACTCCTTTCTCGCCAGCCCACAGTAAGCCAATCATGTCCTGCCCCGAAAGCAAAGAGGATTCTTGCTTAAACATGTCATGAGCTGTTGCACGTGAGCAACTTAACTGACCTGCGCATCAGCTTTGTTGCCACGTCTGCTCATTTATTTTGACATGCGCAGATCCACCTTAATACTCCCAGGCAATCATGTGCACTCCTGCAGGTAAGGACAGAGTCATCTCACAAATGACCCTTACAAGAGTCTGCTTCCAATGTGGAGAGTGTGCTGTCCCAAGCTTCAGGGGTTTGTACAGCTGTTTTCAGATATACTTGTAGGGACCTGTAAATTTTCAGTTCTTCCAAGGTGGTATGATAAGGGGTGAGGTATTTACTCCTTTCTTGGCTTTGTGCTCTGGTCTGTTAGTGACCACAAGCACTCCTTTCTGTCCTGGAACTGTGAGGAGGGTTTCTTTTCACAACCACTACAAGCTCCAGCACGCCAGCACTCCTCCTCGCCCCAGGACTGCCTCCGAGAACTGTGACCCAGATCCAAGCACAGGCAAAGCATGAGATTCCTGCCTCAGCACTGGCAAAGAGATCCCTGCAATACCCCTCTGATCAGCCACTCGATTCGCCCTCAGTCTGTGGGCTTGAAGCTCAGGAGGCAGCTGCTGCCCCCCATGCCACACTCTTGGGGAAGTGGAGCTGCGACCCCCAGCTCTTCTCTCAGCACCACAGAAAGACTTTTCCCACTGACCTTCTCAATTGTCTTTAGCACTCATGGATTGAGAAGTCTGGAAACCACCACAACTGCCTGCAATTCAGTGCTCTGAGGCCTGCTCCAGGTTTGCTGCAGCCTGCGCGCCCATGCCACACTGCGCTCCGCTTCCCACCTGGCGCGATATACCTTTCTGATCAATCATCCAGGTTGTCTTGGGCTGGAAATTTGCTTCACTCTGTCTTTTTGTGGGTTCTGCTGCTTTAGAATTTGTTTAGAGCCATTTTTTACAGGTATTTGGAGGGGTTTGGGGGAGAGCTCAAGCAAGTCACTGCTTTCACTCCCCCATCTTGGCTCCGCCCCCCCACTGCTTCTCATCTTTACCATATTATATAGCTTTAAGGTTCTACAAAGCACTTTATATACATTATCTCAACTAATCTTCACAATAACTTTGGGAGATAAGTTTTCCTTCTATCATCATGTCCATTTTATCAATGAAGAAACATGAGAGGTCAGGGGGGTGACTAGCCACAGCTAGTTAAGTGTCTGAGTTAGGATTTTAACCCAGATCCTGCTGACTCCAAATCCAGTGCTCTTCCTACTATACCACATGCCAAGTAAAATGTTTGGCTTCTGTGGTACTCTAGTAAAGTAAAGAGCTGCCCTTGATTTGATCACCCCTTGTTGTTGAGTTGTTTTTCAGTCACGTCTGACTCTCCATGAACACATTTGGGGTTTTCTTGGCAGAGAAACTGGAGTGGTTTGCCATTTCCTCCTCCAGCTCATTTTACAGATGAGGAAGCTGGGGCAAACAGGGTAAAGTGACTTGCTCAGGGTCACACAGCTAGTCAGTGTCTGAGGTCAGATTTGAGTCAGGAAGATGAGTCTTCCTGACTCTAGACCCAGCACTCTATCCACTGCAGCACCCCCTAGTTACCCCATCCCTGTATAACTAGCTCCTATACCTCTCTTCCCTTTTCTAGTTAAATTCAGAAGCTTCAGACCTTATCAGTCAACTGAAAATGCCATATTCAAAGTTACCAATGATCCCTTTTTTTTCACTCTTTAATAATAATTCCAATGATCTCTTAATTGACAAATGAGATAATAAGGCTCAAATGAGATGATATCTGTAAAGTGCTTGACATGGTGTCTGGCACATAGTAGACACAATTAATTCTTGTTCCCTTTCTCCCTTCCTCCCCTTTTTTTTTATCCAGCCCTAACCTTTCCCCTAACTACCAGCGCTGACTTCTCTGGCTTCCTTCAAGACTCAGTTCAAATTCTACTTTTTGAAAGATACCTTTACCCTCCCCACTGCTAATGACTTCCCTCTGAGATTATTTCCCATTTACCCCACAGATAACTTGTATGTACGTAGGTGTTTGTATAATGTTTTCCCCATTAGAATGTAAGCTCCTTGAGGGCAGGGGCAGTGTTTTTGTCTTTCTTTGTATCCCTAGTGCTTAGCATAGTGCCTGTCACATGGCAGGTGCTTAATAAATGCTTCTTGATGATGATGATGATGATCATAGAATTAATAGAGTGCTTTAAGGCTTATAAAACAGTTTACAGACATCATCTCATTTAACCCTTGCCATAATAACCCTGTATACCTCCATTTTACATAGGAGGAAACGGTCTTGGAGGTGTTAAACAGGTTGCTTACACTCACACTGCTAGGCAGTGGCAGAGAGACAGGATTCAAACCAGTTGCTCCTGACTCAGTTCAACAGTCTTTCCATTACACCCAAGCTACAGAACTATTGGGAATGGGAGACTATGACTTTGACCTTGTTTCTGGAAATTCCACTTTAACTAGAGAAACAAAAGAGAAAAACTTACCAGAGGTGCATTTCTAATCTCAGTCTTCACGATTCAAGGCAGCATCTGTTGAGCCACATAGGACTTTAAGGAGACTCTGCCATGTGACATTTCTGATTCTCTCCTTGTAGATTCAGTGTCTGATCCTTTGAATGTTATCTTCCCATTCTTGGGTTTCTTTGAATCCTTGGATATATTTGACCCTTTGGATTTCTTCTTTGAATCATTTGGAATCTCAGATTCCATATACCCCTCCTCATGTTTCTTGTCTTCCATCTTTAAATTCTGGGAGTTATTGTTTGAGTTCTTAGATTTCTTCCTTGAATTCTTATCTTTCTTCCTTGCATCCTTGGATTCAGTGACTGAATCCTTGGATCTCCTACTTGAAGCCTTGTCTTTCTTTTCATTCTTGTGTTCCATATTGACGTCCTTGGATCTTTTCCTTAAATCTTTGTCTGTCTGCTTTGAACTTGATGATTTAAAGCTTAAATCTGTGGAGTTTTTCTTTACATCCTTGTCTTTCTTCACTGCATGCAACTCTGCATCCTTGGATTTTCTCTTTGAAGCCTTGTCTAAATTCCTGGACTCATTTCTTGAATCCTTGCCTTTCTTCTTATCATTATTTGAATCACCAGATTCAACATCAGACTCTTTGGATGTTTTCTTCTTATTTTCGTCTTTCTTGTTCACATTCACATCCTTGCCTTCAGTGTCTGGCTCCTTGTCTTTAGGTGAATCCATACCACTCTTTAGCTTTGACTGTCCTGATCCTTTGGACTTGCTGTCATCGGTTGTCTCTAGTAGTTTAGTTTTTGACTCTTTTGGTGAGCCTGCTACCTTCTTCTCTGATGTTTTCTCTGCTTGAATTTTTTCTTTCTTGTACATTTGTTTTTTCTCTCCTGGGAACGAGTCTTTGGATTTTGATGCTCTTTGTGGGGGCCTTCTTCTGGCAGCTAAATAAGCAGAAGGTTTCTCAGAAATTTTTAGTAAAGAACGTGACATCCACATGGGAGTTCCTTTGTGATCATCTTTTACTGCATCTTCTACCTGAAAAAATTAATTCAAACATTTTAAAGACTTGGAGTTTTTTTCATTTGTCATTATTCTTAACAGTTAAGTACCTTTCACTGTGCGGCATGAGAAAGAGTTCTGTGTATTGATAAAGAGTACATTTGTAACTGAAGCTCACTCTTAGTTTTACATTTCGCTTTCAAGGTCACCTTTCTGAGATGAAATTATGATCATTCATCTGAGAATTCAGAAAACTACTCTAAAGCCCAAGATGGCTTCAGAGGCCTCTGATATTACTCTCTAGAAATCCAGGTGAGGATTAAGACAGGTTTTTAACCCTCCCCTGGTCATATTGTTCTATTTTATACCTGGGCTGGTCCTGAAAATCCAGGAGTAGATGATTTGGGGACCTCTGTCTGGGTCTGTAACACCCTCCCTGCAGCCCCACTATGAGTCTGAAGCAATTTATTTCCCTAGAGGTGTGTTTGCCATGGCAAATGTTGGTCCAAACACAAGGCCCATCCCCATGGAGCAATTATAGCTTTCCAAACCTATCCCATCCTATTGCTAACTCTGTCTCCAGAGCCATCTTAGAATTCACAGTAAGAGCCAAGAACTAGAACTGTCTGGAACTGACAAATTCTATAAGACAAAATGATTATACACCAAATAGGTACAGGAAATAACAAACAATAAAGATGTCTGGCACACAGACATTGATTCATACACCTTATTGGTGTGTTTAGCTCTCACATAATTTCTGTCCTTGTCCCATTCTCTTCCACCCCTAGCATGGTTCAACTAAGGTACACCTTTGGGTAGAGCTGTTACTAAGGATTTCCTTCCTCTAAAATCCTGCTCTGATGTTCCAGCACGGTGAGTAGGTAATCTGGACTTCTCAAAAACTATGCTCACAGATTGAAAATTCTGGTGCGGCCTACCAATTTGGAAAGCTTTTAAGTACAAATGAAAGTACACTGTCCTGGAGCTTCAATCCTGCCTGCTTGCCGAGGACCAACCAAACCATTGTGGGAGGTGCACTTCATGCACTAGACACCAAGACATGGGCCCCAAGGTGGTGACTCTTTGGATCCCTTACGGAGTGATCAGTGTAGCTGGAGAGAAATTGTGAATCTCTTGTGGAGCACGGAAAGTCCTAAGGAATCACACTACCAGATTGAAATTTCACTTCTCACCTTTCTGTTGTTTACCTTCTGGTAAAGCTGAGCATTTTGAGTGAGGTAGATACTGTGTGTAGTAGGAACACTTGAAGAAGCAAGAGACTTAGGGAATAGCCTAGACTAGATAATGAGGTCTGCAATTACCAACAGTCTTGGATCTAGGGGAAGTCTTTATGGAAAACAGTTAAATAACATTTTCTGAATCTCAAGGGTGATCCTTGACAGTAACCTCTTTTCCAGAGCTAGGGAATCTCATTAAATGACATATCATAATCCCATTTTTCCTGAATGGTCTTCAAATGGCAAAGACCAACCTGCACAATAGGTGACCCTATTATGATCAGGTCTGTCATCCAGTGGGTTGTAAATGGAACAGATTGTCTTTCAATTGAGATCAGGCAGGAATTCCACATGGCTGGTTTATATAGATGCCTATCACCTCACATCTGGGCTGGTACAACAGCTGGTTGTTGTTCCTGCCTAAATTCTCTCACAATTCATTAATTCTTCACTCAGCTGTCAAAGCACCTGTCTGACCATGCCCCTCCCCCCCCACCCCTTTCCCCATTTCAATCAACTCCAGTGGCTCCTTAGTTTGATCCTCTAGGATCAAACATAAAATCTGCTATTTGGTTTATAAAGCCCTTCATGACCTAACCCCTTCCTACCTTTCCCATCTTCTTACATTTTACTCCCCTTTATGGTCCAATGACACTGGCCTCCTTTTTATTCCTTTCACAAGACACTCCCTCTCCCAACTTCCCATTTTCATTGGCTGCCCCTTATGCCTAGACCTCCCTCTCTCTTCATCTCCATTTTCTACCTTCCTTGGCTTCTTGAAAGTCTCAGCTAAAATCCCACCTTCTGAAAGAAGCCTTTCCCAACCCTCCTTAATACTAGTGCCTTCCCTCCGAGATTACTTCCAATATATGAATATGCATATATGTATATACATATAGATACACATGTGTATACATATCTGTATCTATATATCTTACATGTACATAGTTGTTTGCATCTTGTCTCCTCAATTAGATTATGACCACCTTGACAGCAGGGACTGTTTCTACCTTTCTTTGTATCCCCAGTACTTAGCACATTGCCCAGCACATATTAGGTGCTTAATAAATGCAAATTTGCTTAACTTGACCCTTTATCATTAACTTAAAATCAATATAATTATATGGTCTTTTCAGTACTTACAGGAGAATATTGTCTTAATTCAGAAGGGGATGATCTCCACTTCTTCCCTGGTCGGTTGGGTTTGGAAAACATCAGAGAAAAGTGCTGTTGATTCCAGGATTTTTTGTTCATGTCATCAACTGAAAAAAAAATCACATGCTTTGGAGTCAAAGTTTAGACCTGAATCAAAGTGGAAGTTACCTTGAGGGAGCCAGCTAACTTGGCTATGTGTAACCTCCATGTGTGTGGGAGCTATCTCTGCAGATGCAGATCACTCCTCCCCGCATCTCTCCATAACTTAGTGGTCTTCAAGAATTCCTATGGTCTTTGGCATCAAAGATGGAATTTGCCATTAATCTTTCTTTAGTTAATGAATTTCATCATGATGGCTACACATAAGGATCAGACCTTAGGACCACCTTTCACACAGGCAGTACACACACATGCACACACACACACACACACACCTGTTTAGCTCTCTAAACTCACTTTTAGATTTCATTTTCCTTTCAGTTCGACTATTAGCTCTCTGAAGGTAGAAATCAGGTCTCCTGACAATCTTGTATCCCTCGCAGCCCCTTACATAGAGTTAGACACACAGTAGGTACTCAGTAAACATCGATTAATTTTAGGTGCTTAAGTTTCCATTTACTTCAAACCCTGGGAAACAGGACCCAGAACTAAGTACTGTGGCCAGTTCAAATCTGTTCAATTCAAAAGATATTTATTAAATCCCCTACTTTGTGCTAGGCACTGGGATAGTATTTTGTCATTATCGTTGGGAACTATGGTTTAAGTAATTTGAGGAACTCCAAGAGTGTAAAGTCTCTCTTCTGGAACAGATCTCAGTAAGGCAATGTATGTATGTATGTTTGTATGTATGTATGTATGTATGTATGTATGTATGTATGTATGTTTGTATGTATGTATGTATGTATGTATTGCGAGGCAATTGGGATTAAGTGACTTGTCCAGGGTCACATAGCTAGTAAGTATCAAGTGTCTGGTCTGACATAGGATTTGAACTCAGGTCTTCCTTTCTCCAGGGCTGGTGCTGTATCTGGTGCTATATCCACTGCACCACCTAGCTGCCCCAGGGAATGTATTTAATGTTCTTTAAGGTTGCCATATAAATGCTTGTTATTACTATTTTAAACATCCAGTCTTAGAGAGTTGTCTGGGGCTTTCCCTACAGTCCTATGGTCAAAGGTAGGACTTGAATCCTGGTTTTCCTGACAAGAACAGCTCTGTATCTACAAGGGCACGCTGCCTCCCTGGCATTCAAGAGAGAGATGAGTAGCAATATGGTATGATTGAAAGGAGTTCTAGACCTAGACCAGGCTTCAAATTCCATCCATGTCACTTATTACTATGTGACCCTGGACAAATCATTATACCTCTCTGGGCCTCAGTCCCTTATCTGTAAAACTGTAGAGTCATTTGTGAGATGACTCTGTCCTTACCTGCAGGAGTGCACATGATTGCCTGGGAATATTAAGGTGGATCTGTGCATGTCACTAAAATGAGCAGATGTGGCAAGTTGGCTGATACTCAGGTCAGCTGAGTTGCTCACGTGCAACGGCTCATGACATGATTAATAAGCACGAATCCTCTTTGCTTTCGGGGCAGGACATGATTGCCTTACTGCGGGAAGGGCTCGTGAAAAAGGTGGACGGGGAGAGGATAAGAAGGAGGTACCCGGAGGCAGAGAAAAGGAGAGCGTTAGAGCCACAGAGCCGCGTGAGCCGCAGAGCCGCTGAGCCGCAGAGCCGCGCTAGTAGTCAGAGATGTAACAATAAAAGAGTATACTCTGAAAGTATCTTGGGGTGTTCTGTGGAGTCATTTCTCCAGTGCAGCTGGAGCCGGAGACGTCCGAAGCCTGTTGAGGAGGTAAGTTCCTAACCCAGATAAACACGGAGTATAACATAAAACGAAGGGGTTGGACTAGGTGGTCACTAAAACCCCCTTCCAGCTCTTTATTTAGGATGCTATGTGCATGGGGTAATCCTATAGTTCCTACCATAGGCTAATAGGACCATACACTCACAGACCTTCAGCTGGAAGGGATCTCAAAGGCCATCTGGAGCAAACCCATTACTTTACAGATGAGGGGCCTAGGTCCAGAGAAGTTAATGGCTTGCCCAAGGTCACTCAAATAGCAAACATCAGAGGACCATCTCATTTAATAATGTAGCTGAAATACTTTGGTCTGAATGCAGGCTGCTGGTGTTATGTGTCACATTGTTAGAGATATGTTAAGCAGCTAGAACTCACTGAGAAGAAGGTAGCCCAGATAGTGCAAGGACTGGAAACCACAGCTAGCTTTTGAGTGTGATCAGCAAATCATCTGAAGTGCTGGTGTGTGTTTGAATGGACACAATTTGAAGTTATAATTATGTCAAATATAATAACTGGTTCCAGCCCAATGGAAATCTGCAGTATAAATTCAGATAATGCAGCAACTTACAGGATTCATTATTCACCTTTACTGGGACCTAGATCCTATGAAGAAGTTTCTTACCTTAAGAAGGAAGGCATGCCTATTATATTTAAATATCTGAAGGGCTGTCGTCTGAGAAAATGAATTTACTCTCTATAGCATCATAGAGTGAGATTTTGCAGTTCTGTGAGAACTAAGTCCAAGATGTTACAAGGACGCAGATTTGGATTCACTCAAAGGTAAGGCATTTCCCAATAGAGATGTCAACAATGGAATGGGTTGTCTCATAGAGTAGCTAGTTCATATATATAAGATGGTAAAACCATGGCCAAAAAGGAGGTTTTCTGAAAATGATCTGGGGGTTTTAGTGACTCACAAGTTCAATATGCATCAACATCAGTGTGATTCAGTAGACAAAGAAATTAATGTTGTCTTAGTCTGCATTAAGAAAGGATAATAGATTTAGAGCTATAAGAGACCTCAGTGGCCATCTAGTACAATGCCCTCATTTTACAGATGAGGAAGCTGAGGCCCAGAGAGACTGAGTGACTTACTTGCCAAGGACACATGGGTAATAGATAACAGAGGAAGGATTAAAACCCAGATCCTAACTTCAAATTCATAATACTTGCCATCATACCATAATGCACTCCTATAACTTCAGTGGGGAATATGACTTCCAAACTTTTCAGCCTAGACCTTTCTTCCAAGCTTCATCCTCACATCTCTAGTAAGCAATAGACCTTCTCTACCTGGGTGTCTCACTACCACCTCAAATCCAACCCATCTGAAACTGAGCTCAACTTCCTTCCTGCTTCTCTTGCTCCTCATTCTGACCTAAGTATTTCTGCAAACAGCACCACCATTCATCCAGTCTGTCATGTTCAAAGCCTTGGTGTGATCTTTGTCTCTTCCCTCTCATTTCCTGTCCAAATGGCTTGTACATTTTAACTTCACAGCAGTTGGCAATTTGTCTCCTCCTCCCATTCTCACTGCCACCCATTAGTACAGGCAGTCATTTCCACCTGCCTGGATGTTTACAATAGCCTCCTAATGGTTTTCTTTGCTCCACTCTACCCCCTCTCCTAGCCTTCTTCCTTAATTCTTTTAGACTAATCTTCTTTCTGCACATCATGTCACTCCTCTGCTCAAAAACTGTCATTGGTTCCCAGCTGTGTCCCAAGTAGATTCCAATTCCTTTGCCTGGCATTCAAGACTCTCACAATCTGGTGCTCCCCTCCCCCTTTTCAGCTTTATCTCATGGTATCTATCTTCCATACAGTCTATGCTCCAGGCAAATTAGACTGCTGTCCATCCCCTAGGCAGGCCCTATACTTTCCCACCTTAGAATAGTGCCCAGAACTAGGAGGGTGGGGGTTGCCTTGGTCAGACCCTATCTGGAGGATTATTTTCAGTTCTGGGTGCTACATTTGAGCATAGACATTGATAACCTGGGGAGCATGCAGAGGAGGCCAACCAAGATGGAAGAAGGCCTCCAAATGCTATTGTTCTCAATATCTACTCTCAATCTCTTTCCCTTGAACTCTGTGTCTGCATATTCAACTTCCTATAGGACATCTCCACTTGGAAGTGGAGAGACAGTATGGTACAGTAGAAAGTGTATTTGATTTGGAGTTGGAAACCCTGGCTTCAAATTCTACCTTTACCACTTACTACTTTTATGACCTTGAGTAAATCATTTCTGTTCTCTGGGCCTCCATTTCCTCAGCTATAAAACAAGGGAATTGAACTAGATAAGAGCTAAGGTCCCTTCCAGATCAAAATCTAAATCTCCATGAGAGAAGAACAAGGATCAGTGGACAGAAGTCTCTGAGAAGCCAATTTAGGGTCAATATACAATAGAACATATTTTACCAAATAGTGGAATGAACTGCCTTGTAGTGTGGATTCCACCTCCTGGGAGGTTTTTAAGCAGAACTTAAGCAAAAGCAAAGCCTCATGTCTGGTATGTTGTAGAGGAGCTTCCTGTTCAACTGTGGGTTGGACCACATGGCTTCCAGGATCCCTTACACCAGAGAGAGTATCTGCAATCTCTCCTTGTGATTCAGAAGCAGTGTAACGTGTATGCTGAAAAACCCATGCATTCTTCCATTGCATTAATAAGAAGCACAGCATCAAGAATGAGAAAAGCCCTAGCACCACTGGATTCTCTTCTGATGAAAGCACATCTGGAGACTGTTGCTCAACTCGTTTGGGCCCCTTGTTTTAAGGATATTGATATGCTAAAAGACTGTTCAGAAGAGGGTGACCAGGATGGCAAGAGTATTCAAAATCTCATCATATAATAGGAAGGCAATGGGGATATTTAGCCTAAAGAAGAGAAGACTTGGGGTGCATGCTGGTGAATGTTTTAACAACTGGCTCCTTCCTACAAAAGATACCCACAACATTTGCATTACTGACATTTTCTCCAATTTGCTCTTGCTAGCAGATTTGAAATGGCTCTAGCACACCCCTTGGTGGGCTGGGCAGCTGGGAGCAAGAAAGGGAGGGACATGATAACTGCCTTCAAATATCTGAAGGGCTCTCACACAGAAGAGAGGTTAGACTTATTCTCTGTAGCTCCAGAGGGAAGATCTAGAACCAGTGGGTGGAAGTTACATTGAGACAAGTTTGAGATTGTCATAAAGAAGAATAGGCTCCTCTTAGGATGTAGTGAGTTTCCTAACACTGGAAGTGTCCAAGTTGAGGATGGATAACCACTTGTTGAAGTTATTTTAGAGAATATTAATGTATTGGGGAAGAGGTTTGATCTCTGAGGACGTGGTCAACTCTATATTTCTATGATTCTATGAACTTGGTTGAAATTCTTACCTGGAATATAATTATTATAGGAGCCAAAGTTCACTCTTCGACTATAAAAGAAAAAGAAAAATTTAAAAAAAATATATATTTGTATAGGAGCAACTTCTTGCCATCATGTTTTATTGTTGATAGCAAATCTCTAGCACCAGTAATGTGGGCATTCCCCTGCATTTCACTGTGAACCACTATCCTATTTCATTGAACCCACCTCTTCTCCCTATGTCTAAGCTATGGATCAGTATCTGCGAGTTCTTACTATGTCCTTGAACCAAACAAATCTGCCCTATACTATAAACTTACTACAAATGGATGAATTTGCCAAGCTCTGAACTGAACCCCAGTGTTAATTATTTTAGGGAAGCTTGAGAAGAAATCAAGTAGTTTTTAAAGAATCAATTTGAATTGGCTCTAAATTTAGATACTTTAAAATACTGTTGAGCTAAGCTGAAGAGGATTTGAATAAGGGTATGGTCCTAGCACCAGGCTAGCCAAATACAAAGAGGCTCATTGCCCAACTGGCTACCAGAATGTTGGCCACCCAAGCCATGGGACGGACATCATCTCAGTGGTTGTGACCTGCACCCGTACCTACCCACTTACAGATCCTCAAAGTACAGAAGAGATTGAAAAGGAACAAAGTTAGGACTACAAGTCCCCAGAATGTTGCTGTGAACCCTCGGGGCATTTAATGAAGACATATTGTCTGATGTTCTTTTCTGATTATCAACGTCAATTAGATTATCAACTCATCAAAGGCAAGAACATTGTATTTGATTTTTCTCAGCTAATCCCACCTGCCCCACACCCTCCCATTAACCCACAATATTGAGGATGTTCAGTAAACATTGTTGACTTTCAGTTTGGGAGATTAAGGCACTGATTCGTGTGGGAAAACACTATTAGATCAGTCATTTCTGGAAAAAGCCTCCACTCTTCATCAAACTGAACTCCCTTGTATCCAAGCAAAACAGCTAAGCAAAAACATTGGATACAGTGACACCTCTGACAATGTATATAATAACATTTTGCCCCAGTAGTCTCCTGGCCCCTGCCTTGAAGAGGAAGATATATGTTCTGATCTTTTCATTTGTTATTGTCGTCATTGTGCATATCATTGTGCATATCTTTTTCTGCTTGTGTCACTTTACACTGCAGGGGTGGGGAACCTGCAGCCTCAAGGCCACATGTGACCGTCTAGGTCCTCAAGTGTGGTCCTCTGACTGAATCCAAACCTCACAGAAGAGATCCCCTTAATAAAAGGATTTGTTCTGTAAAACTTAGACTGGTCAAAAGGCTGCCCCCAAGGACCTAGAAGGGCATGTGGGGCCTTGAGGCCACAGGTTCCCCACCCCTGCTTTACAGTAATAGGTTTCTATGGAATATCTGATTTGACCAAGTTAGCTCACTTATAAGAAGTACAAAAGAAGTGTCTAGTCAAAATTCATCATTACTTTATGGAGATTTGAGGTGATAAGAGACTGTGGGAGAAGAGTGCTTAGGTTGTTGAAACAGCCAAACCACTGTGCATGTAAGCTACAGTTAATTGCCTTGACACTTGACTAGACCCATTAAGTTAGTAAAAAGTCAACCAAAACAACATTTCAGCTAATGAAAAATCATCAAAACCACCTGAAGATACATCCTGAGTTAAAGGTACAGGCTGAGAAAGTACTGGTCAGTCCCCTGGCTTGAAAGCTTTGGAATGGTGGTGGGTCCTTCAAGGCTCCTTCCCAAGGTAATGCTGCAATGGCCCTGGAACTTACAGACTAAACTATGCTTTGGCAGGTACAGGTAGGGAAGGGAGTGGCCTCACACTGAGGCCCAGAAATTTAGTCTAAAGTCCCAGCAACTTGGGAACAAACAGCTGCTACTGACTTTGTGGCAGTCATCCTTTCCCTACTCTTTCCTCAAATCTGATTTTTTTTTTTGCTTTCTCTCCTCATCCTTACCTCCTTCACCTTTTCCTCCTGTTAGAAGAGAGTTTTCATGGGGCAGCTAGGTGGTACAGTGGATAGAACTCCGGCCCTGGATTCAGGAGGACCTGGGTTCAAATCCGACCTCAGGCACATAACACTTACTAGATGTGTGACCCTGGGCAAGTCACTTAACCCCATTGCCTAGAGAAGAAGAAGAAGATGATGACGACGACGACATCTCTTCAGTCCCTGAACCATTTCAGTGAATATTCCCACACCCTCTATTCAATATGTTTACCCTGTTAGTTACCAATAATTCCCCTTTGCCAAATTTCTTGTACCCCTTTGAGGGTATGTATACCTCAGGTTGGCAATCCCTGTGCTAGATAACCATTATTCCACTTAGTTTTCCACCTGCCACTGTACACATTGTGTATACAGATTGTAGAGAGGCATTTTACAGTTTCTTATGGTCAAAAAAAGGCACTTAATGTTATTGACTTGAAGATGGAGAAATATGGCCTGGATGGTAGTGCAGTTAGGTAGATTAATATGTGGCTGAATAACTGTTTCCAAAGTGTATTGACTCAATGTTTTAGTGTCAACCTTGGGGAAGGTCTCTCATGCCAAGCCATGGGATCACAGGATCAAAGGCATAGGGCTGGAAGGGACCTCATTTGACAGAGGAGGGAACTGAGATGCAAAGCAATGAAGTGGCTTTCTCCCAGATCACGCAGCTAGAAAGTGGCAGAGCTGACCCTCAAACCCAGGTTGTCTGGAACCAAGTCCACCACTCTTTGCACTGTACCATACTCTATCCTTGGACTGATCTTATGCAACATTCTAATCAATGATTTAGACTAGGGGTGGGGAACTTGCAGCCTCGAGGCCACATGTGGCCTTCTAGGTCCTTGGGTGTAGCCTTTTGACTGAGTCCAAGTTTTACAGAACAAATCCTTTTATTAAGGGGATCTCTTCTGTGAAGTTTGGATTCAGTCAAAGGGTCACCCTTGAGGACCTAGAGGACCACATGTGGCCTCGAGGCTACAGGTTCCCCACCCCTGATTTAGATGAAGACACACAATAGATGTCTATCACAGAGATATATGGGTGATACAAAGCTGAGAGAGACTGCTAGCACATGAGATGATAGAATTAGGATCCAAAAAGAATTCAGTGGACTGGAATTTCAGAAGATGAAATTTAAGAAAGGTAAAGGTCTGGTTCTACACTTGATTTCAAACAACCTCCTACACAAGTATAGGGGTAAAGGCAACAGCAGCCAATCGTGTGGATTCAGCTAGTCTGAGGTACTTCAGTCTACAATCCCAAGTTCCCTATGGAGCAGTTAAGTTCCAGCCTCTACTGTCCAAAGGGCCATGAGCCCATTCAGACCAAGCCAAGTAGCTGGGCCCAGCAGGTTCTGGTTTGGCTCCAACTCTAGTCCCGAAGGAATGGGATGCCAAGGCAGTCTAGTCCTGCTGTTAAGAGCATCCCAACCCTGTCTTCTGGAACATGCCATTATTCCTCTTAGACATGGGCTTCATTTGCATTCTTGTAACTTGGAAGGTTTTCATAAAGAATACTAGCTGTAGGGTTTCTGTTTTAGTGATTTTCACATTTTTCCCCTTTGAAAATTATTTTGTTCACAAGCCCTTTGATCATCTGAATAGAATTTTACTCCTGTCCTTGTTAATTAAGTCATTCAATCCCTATAACTTTGGAGAAGAAAGATTTAATTTACAAACCTACCCTAAGAAGAAGCAATGAGATGAAGAATTCATTGGCTGTTCCACTGGGCTATTCTTTCTCAAAAACAAGCAAGTCTGCTTAGGTTAACGTCAATGATCACAGACATAGAAACATAATAGATTATCCCGTCAGGCCCAAAAGAGTGGAACTAGATTGAAGAAGCCCAGACTCTACATCTCTGTAAACCCACAGGCAATTCCAAAAGAATCTCCCTTTGATCTGGGCTTGTGAAGAATGTATAATGAATGTTCCTAGCTGATTGCAGTAGGGGACTTAGTGAGGTGGACTCAAGAGGCCTGAGTTCAAATATTGCCTCCATTTCTTACTATGGGACCCTGGGTAACTCACTTCCTTTCTGTGGGCCTGTTTCCCCATTAGTAAAATGGGAATAATAACAGCTCTAACCTCGTGTGGTTGTTGGGAAGATCAAAGTGAAGAACGTGGCACTGATTTCCCAAACCTTAACATTATATATACATAAATATATATATATATATATATATATATATATATATATATATATATACACACACGCACGCACACGTATACACACACACACATATATGTGTGTATATATATGTATATATATATATGTGTATATATATACACACACACATGTATCTATTTGTATGCTAGTTAATATTACTATGATGTGCTGTGGAGGTTGGGCAGCAGAAGAACACTGACCTCAAGGGCTACTGTTATTATTATCAAGCGAGGGAATGTATGGAAAGTACTTTGTAAATCTTAAAATGCTATAGAATTGTGAGCTATGATGATAGAGATGATATATGCAAAGACTGAAAATACATTTAAGTAAAAGCAAAGCTAGCCTAGGTTCCAAACCACTCCTGTCTTCCTTTCCTATTTCCCTTCCTTCTCCTTCACATCTTCTTTTTGTTATTCATTCCTTCCCTCTTTCCTTATGGTTTTCCCTCTTTCCTTTCTTCTCTTTTACCTCCCTTTCCTTCCCTCCTTCTTTCTAGCCTTTGTTCTTTCATTCCTTCCCACCTCCCTTTCTTCCCTTTCTTTATGTCATTCTTTCTTTCTTTCCTTCCTTCCTCTCCTTTTCTTTATATTCTTCCCTCATTCCTTTCTTCCTTCTCTTTCCTTTTCCCTTCCTTTTCCTTTCCTTTCCTCCCTCCCTTTTCTTTTTCCTCACTTTCCTTCCTTCCTCCTTTTTTTCTACTTCCTTTCCTTTTTCATTCCTTCTTTCCCTCCCTCTTTCCTTTCTTCCTGCATCCATTCATTTATTCCATCCTTCCTTCTTTTCTCTTTCTCTCCTTTTCTTCCTTCTCTCCTTCCTTCACCTTTCCTTCTCTATCTTTACATCATTCCTTCTTTCCCTCTTCCTTTCCTTCCTTCTTTGTTCACTGTTTTTATTTCCTTCCTCCCTTCCTCCCCATTTCCCTCCTTTTCTCTGTCCCTTCTTCCCCATTTCTCTCCCTTTCTTTCCTTCTTTCCTCTTCTTGCTTGCTTCCTTCCTGCCCCTTTTTCTCCCGTTTGTTCCTTCCCAATTGCCTTCCCTCCCTCTCCTCTTTCCTTTCTTCCTTCTACATTCCCTCCCTTCAAATCCTTCCTTTCCTTCTTTATTCATCACTCCTTCCTTCCTTCCCCTTCATCTCATTTTCCTTATGCCTTTTTTCTTCCTTTCTTCCATCCCCTTTCCCTCACTTTGTTTATGCAATTCCTTCTTTTGTTGCTTTCTTCTTTCCTTGCTTTCTTCCTCTTTGCCTCTTTTTTTCTTATATTCTTCCTTCCTTCCATCTACTTCCCTTCCCTTTATATCTTTCCTTTCTTCTTTCCCTCCTTTCTTCCCTCACTCCTTCCCAATTAGCCCAGTAAGCCCCCCACTTGAATCCTTTTGCCTTTTCTTGCCCAGTTTGCTGGCAGGGCCTTCTCCCAAGTCTGGCTTGTTTCTCCTTGTTTGGTAGCCTCGTGCATGGGTCCATGTCTTAGAAAGCCTGGACACATACATGGGCTTCAGGATCTGGCTTGACTCAGGGAAGGGGAGAGAAAGAGCCCACTCAGAGGTGCACAGGTCTCAGGCTTGGTGCTAGCTAGGTAAGAGGAGGCACCATATGCACTTCTGAAAACCCAAGGGACTCTTTCAGGATTTAAGGCCACCTTGGAATGATTGCCTGACCTGTTTTTTCTCTCCATTTCCCGGGTTATTTTCATCCTCAGGCTCATGTCTTATAGTCAAGAGTTACCCCACAAAGACTGCAGTGCAGCCCCATCTTCTGCCTTGATCTCTCCAGGTCTCACTCCTCCCAGCCCCATTAGTACTGAGCTTGGTCCTTCATGCCATCTGCTCCCCATCCAATGAATGCCCTTTCCCCTCCCTATGACCTTGACTAAAGAGGCCCTCTTCTTTCTTCTACTAGCTTTCTCTTGTTCATTATTCCTCTGTGCTCCTTATATTAGGCCTTTGGGGAAGCAACTCCTGAAAAGCCACTAGAAGGGATATAGAAAGGTGCCATGCCTCTGAGGCCTTGAATGGTAAGCAATATGCTCAGCCTTCGGGACCTCGGTAACTAATTTCTTTTCTTTTTTTTTAATCTTATTTATTTATTTATTTATTTATATTCATTCATTTATTCATTCATTTATTTATTTATTTATTTATCTATTTATTATCTATCTATCTATTTATCTATTTATCTATTTATCTATTTATCTATTTATCTATTTATCTATTTATTTATTTATTTATTTTTAATTAAAAAGAACTTTTCCAGACATTTTCCAGCCTAGTTACAGCCTGAGCATGGTTAGGTTAAACAGCTGATGTGAGGTGTGACATCATAAAGGATCTTAGACTGCTAAGTGGCTCTTAAAGGGAAAAGACCTTTCTCCCCTCCCCCCTCCCCTGCCCCTGGGAAATGTATTAATTTATTTGTTTTTAGTTTTCAACATTCACTTCCACAAGATTTTGAGTTCCAAATTTTCTCCCCATCTCATCCCTCCCCCCACCCCAAGATGGCATGCATTCTGAATACCCCTTCCCCTAATCTGCCCTCTCTCAGTAACTAATTTCTGAATGGCATGGAAAGAACTTGAGGTATTTTAAGGTTTAGGTGAATGACAAATATTTTTTGATAATACCTGGGAGGTTCAGTTTGGGGGACCCTCAATTTGAATCCTTTCAAAAACATTTCTTGATCAGCCTTTTGTTTTGACAACATAGTTCCTTCTGAATGTACTCTTTCATCTCTCCCTCCACCTATCCGGTAACAAAAACAACTGGGCAAAACATAGCGACCATCGTCCAGCAGTGTATGCAACATTCTACCCCAACGGGCCCCCTCTGCCTCAAGATAACGGGGAAAGAGAAGATGAATGTCTTCATCTTTTATGTGCACCAAGATTGGTTGTTACAATCACACAGCCTTTGACTTTGTTTTTGTGTCCTTTGTAGCTATGTCAAAACAATGTAAAACCATTTCTTTCCCTGACAATAGTACCCCCTCACCCAAAGCAGCCATTATTCCTCACATCTCTTTTCCTCGCGATTTTGGTCAGCAAAGATCATGCTGGCTTGCTCTATTGAACAGTAGATCCAACAACTCATTGCCAAGATTATCTTTATTATTTTAAATAAAAGCCAAAGAAGCCTTAAGAAGTAGTAATAGAGACTATCCATCCAAGCAGAACAGTTTATTTTCTAGTTTCTCCCCACATACATTTTAACAATAAATTAATCATGTGACTATTAAAGGCCAGAAAATTATATATTCAATCTCACATCTCTGAAACCTCTGTACACTTTATACTTTTTCAAAACAGCTTTCCTGAACAATATGTTGTTTCTCTCAAAAACTAATGAGGACTCATGGACCTCATTCAATGGAAGGGGAAATTGAAGCACAGAGAGTACCAAAATAACTGACCAAGATCACCTAGCCAGCTCACCACAGAGTAGCAAAGAGGGCTCAGATTTTGTTTTCTGGACAGACTAGCAAAACAGTGCTTCAGAACCATTACCTCCCCTGGATAACCATTCTAAACTCTTAATCAAATAACCTGGGAAAGACTCTGTAACAGACACTTATAGAAAAGCCATAAATTTTCGTATTAAAAGGAAAACTTACAAGCGTGGAGCAGACATTTTCCAGCCTAGCTACAGCCCGGGCTTTGACATGGTTAGATTAAACAGCTGCTGTGAGGTGTGGCATCATAAAGGACCTTAGACTGCTAAGTGGCTTTTAAAGGGAAAAGACCTTTCTCTCCCTCCCCCACCCCGGGGAAATGTATACAGTCTGTGTGGCTATTAGATGCAATGGAAACTAGGTGGTGCTGCAGTGCTGGGCCTGGAAGCAGGAAGAGCAGTACAAATACAGCCTCAGACACTTAGTAGCTGTGTGACCCTGGGCAAGTCACTTAATCCTGTTTATGTCAGTTTCCTCATCTGTAAAATGAGCTAGAGAAGGAAATGGCAAACTGCTCCAGTATCTTTGCCAAGAAAACACCAAATGGGGTCACGGAGAGTCAGACATGACTAAAACAAGTGAACTATTACAATTGATGACACTGGAATGCAAGCTCTGATAGGTCTCCTCCACTAAAATGTGAGCTTTCTGGAAGGCAGAAACAATGCTCTTTGTATCTCCAGTGTTTAGCAGACTGCCTGAATGTAAGTGCTTAAGAAATGCTTGTTGAAATAAACAATATGTGGACTAAAAAAAAAAATAAAAGAAGGGAAAAAATAAAACTAATCACAGAACAACAACAACAAAAGAAAATGCTTGCTGACTGGGACTGACCTTGGGGATGGACTTGTGTTTCGTCTACTGAGAAGGCCCAGCACCAGGTTGGCTGCTGGATGACGGTATTCTGGGGGCCGCCACAACTTAACATCATCACCTACAAAGTTATAAAGGGGCCACAATCTGCATCAGTGGAGGGAGGAATCACATACGTGAAACCACAGACCTTTGAAGATTTGAAGTACAAAGTAGTAGTCTTAGGCTGAGCCTGCTGGTGAGGAATGAATCAAAACTGCCCATTCTGTAAACCCTAAAATTTGTAAACTCAAGCCCAAGAATTTTAACCAGGAAACTGAGCCAATGCATTGTAATGAAAAGAACACTGGAGTTAGGAGACCTAGCCTCTTATCTTAACTTTGCCACCTGAAACTAGCTGTGGAACCAGAGGGCAGCTAGGTGGCGCAACGGATAGAACACCTGGCCTGGAGTCAGGAAGACCTGAATTCAAATGCAGCCTCAGTTTACTAGCTCTGTGACTTGGGGCAAGCCACTTAATTCCTTTTTGCTTCCGTTTTCTCAACTGCAAAATGGGGCTAATAGCACCTATTGCCCCCCAACCCCTTAGAGCTGTGAGAAACAAAGGAGAGAATAATTGTAAAGTACTTAGCACAGTCCCTAGCACATAGTCGTTGCTGAGTCACTTCAACTCTTCCTGACCCTATGAGCCGTATCACACCAATACTGTCCATGGGGCTTTCTTGGCAAAGACACTGGAGTGGTTTGCCATTTCCTTCTCCGGCTCATTTTACGGAAGAGGAAACTGGGGCAAACAGGATGAAGTGACTTGCCCAGGGGCATGCAACTAGTAAATATCTGAGATCAGATTTGAATTCCAGTCTTCCTGATTCTAAGCCCAGCACTCTATATAGTGTGCCACCTAGCTGCCTCTGAATATAAATGTTAGCGATTATTGTTATTACCCTCTCTGGGCTTCAGTTTCTTCATTTGACAAGAATTTATCAAGGACCTAATACACAGAGATACACACACACATACACATGCAAGGTAAGGGAGCTAAGACAAGATTCATAATCTTAAGAAGTTCATCAATTTGTCAAATGAGAGAGCTAGCTAGAAGACCATAAAGTTGGCTGCCAGCTCTGATGCTGTGTCTACTTTCTTTCCCTACCTTTTCATCTTCTCCTGTAGCCCCATTTTCTAGAAGAATTGGAGAGGAAATATTAAAAGCTCAAAGCAGTATATTAAAGGAGACATCTATATCTATGTATGTAACCTCTGTCCATATCACTTGCCAATTCCAACATGTCCACATTCATTATTAAAGAGCCCAAGGTAGCAGCATCCTTGTCCAAGAGGGCTTGCTGCTCAGAGGTGACACATGGCCTATGCCCCTTCTGGTGGGTGCCCTGTTTGTGGGCATTTATTTATACAGGATGGTGTCAGCCAGTCTTGGAACAGAAGGTGAATGGAACTGTGGGTGAGACAGCTCAGTGGCCCATGGGGGATTGAAATGTAGCCTTGAGCCTCATCAGTTCTGTACTGTGTGGCCAGCTGAGTGAACTGCTTACAGAGTAATATTCACTACTCTGGGAAGAATCGCTAAATATTCAATACGAGTATAATATTTGTCATTTTCCCCCCTATTTTAATCTCATAGTTTTTCATTCTACTTTTTCTCTCCCTGTACCTTTTCATTTTTTTAACTTAGAAATTCATGTCTCCCCTGTCCCTGCAAATGGCAGAGTGTGATATAAAAACTCACCATTTTCAATCATCTTGGCAATACCACTGTGATATTTTCACAGACGAATTGGGTTTCCCAGGCAAACCACTGCAGTTTTAATTTAGAAGGTTATGTCCATTGAGACTCATTCATAATGAATCATTTTTCCAACTGATGAGAGCTTTTATGTTCACTCTCATTTCTCATGTTAATTTAAAGGTCAAGGCTATTGCATGTGAGTCGACAATCTTTTTGGTAATGAGTACTGTCTGGGGTATTCAGTTCCTTTGGCCTTTAATTTTCTTGGGCCAAGTATCTGAAGGACACCTACATATTTACAAACGCAGAATTACATCCAGGACCTTAGTTGGGAAGAAGGAAGATGTCTGAAAGAAAGGAACTGGTTCGAGTAAGTAGATAGGCTCAGAACAGGTCAGATTTAAAGCTGAAAAGGCCTTTGGAGAGTCAAACTTCTTCATTTTGCAGAAAAAGAAACTGAGGTCCAGGGAGGGAAGGACTTGCCTGAGATCACATTAGAAACTAGGAAATGGTGGGTGGCTGGGGATGGCTATCAGATTTGGGACTTTCAAGAACCTGCCCAAAGGGGGCCAGGCAGACCTCCTGGCACTTATTTGCCATTTCGCCTTTTCCACTGTGCAGTTCAGGAGCAGCGTTTTTCCAGAGAAATCCAAAGGCCTGGTCCCAGTGTACAGTAATGTGCACTGGGAGTAAATTCAAAAATTTGTAAGGAACTCATGAAATTGAAAAGCCTGCCAGGGGCTCCAGGGGGAATGTAAGCTCCTTGTGGGCAAGGGGCTGGGTCACTTCTGCCTTAGCCCAGTCACTCGCCCAGGCCGCCCTTATTAGTCTTGTCTCCTTCCTACTTACAGTCGCCGTAGCAAGGGAACGCCGGTAGGGGGTCCTTGGGGGGCGGGGCTCTCCCTGGGGGCCCCAGGGCATTGTGGGGGAGGAAGGGGTCAGGGGCCTCTCGGCTTCTGCGGCTACGTGTGGTGCGGCCCGCAGTTCTAACCGTCCCCTGGGAAGGGTGAGTAACGCTCCGGAACGTGTGGCGCCCGGTCGGTGGGGAGTTACGGTCGCGTGGCCGTTGCCTTCCTCGAGGCCCGCATGGCGCGTGCTCTCTGGCCGGGCTTAGCCTCTGAGGTCGCAGCTCCAGAGAGGGAGGCATTTCTGCATGAAGTCACACAGCGTTCTAAGTAGCAGGGCTCCCCAGTGTGGCCCCCCCGCCGCGTCCTCCCTCCCCATGCACCACACTCCTATTGCCCCGAACTGGGTTCTCAGACATCCCTTTATAGCGCTCAGACCAGTAGGCCTTTCCCCTCTAGATTCCAAGCAGCCCAGAGGATCGACTTTCAGCTGGATGGGGTGGACCCGACCTTAGGTATAGTCTGATTGACTAGAGTCTAGTTCAATTCCCTCGTTTTATAGAGGAAACTGAAACTCAGTGGGTGGGGTTAATTGGTAGAGCTAAAAATGTGTGACTCTGAGCAATCAAGGCAAGAGAATCGGCCCCATTGACATTGATACCTCCAGGGCATCAGAAGCTGCCAAATTCTGCGGGTCTCGGGAGAACCTCCCTTCCTGCCCCTCTTAGGAACGTGAAAGCCGTAATGCACAGTCTGGATTCCAACAGACTCTGGAAGGTTGCCTGCCTGGCCTGGGGGTAATGACCTGGGAAGATCTAGCTTCCCATTTAGAGGCCTTACAAAGCAGTGATATACACAGAGGCAAGCCCCAAATTGCAACAGGTCAAGTGCCCAAAGTTCGTTTGTAGGTTGGCGTGTTTGGAACTCACTTGTATTCCCCTTGGAAAAGATGATGTATAAATTGGTGGCTTGATTCCCAAGCCAGCCCACAAAACCTATTTAACCCATAATGTAGTCGAAATACTTTGCATTTACAATGAAATGTACAAAATACTGTGTTCAGTCCTAGTAATTAACACAAAACAGGAAACAATGTACATTGAATAAAAAATAGGATTTAATTAATCCTGATTGCTAGTGCTTGAGGAAAGCAAGTTTAATTAGAGGAGGATGGAGAAATATAGAAAGAGGGAGATTTTCGTGGAGATTGTGAAGGGCACTAGTCACTGGACATTTCAAGGGCTTTAGAGACTAATGAACCTGCTTATGTATTAGGTTTCATTTCACTTCAAAGCATGTCTATGTCCAGCCTCTTTCTTTGCTTTTCCTTGTGACAGGTATAGCCAACTCGAACTGCTTATGTTCCATAGCCATGATTAGAGTCATTGTTTTGACTTAGAAATGGAAGGAAGATGGAAGGGGAGGGATAGATTTTCCTGAGGTAATTGGGCAAGAATTGGAAGAAAAATAATGTGTGTTACTGTCACAAAAGAAATTACCTGAGATGGAATTAACCGAGATGTGAGTGCTGAGAGAGGAAAGAGGAGATCAATGTGCCAGGCTCTCTGAGAAATACTATTGGGTGTTCCAGACAGCCTGCCTTCCTCATGCTAAAGGGACAGGAGATCTCATCAAATGAGATGGAGAAGCCCCTATCTAGGATAGGACAAGTGCAAAAATTGAGCCATCCATTTCCTAGTAACATGGAAACAGATGTTACTGCCATGATGTATTAAAAGTAGCAAGGAAGTAGAAAAAGTTTGAAAGTCAGATCTAGGTTCAAATCTTGTCTCTTTCCAATCC